AAGCCGATGCTAGATGGCTTGCTCGTTGAAATTGCATTATTGTCTATCTTCGATCTTGGTAGAAAATATTCTTCTCATGTGTGATATGGTAAGTTTCCTCAAAGCACCCCTAAAGATGAGGAATGGAATATTTAGGATAAAGAGGAGGAATACCCTGACCTGCTACCATGCTTGAGAATTGAAAGAAGCAAAACTTTTAATTTTCTTTTACGTACTACTAAAGAAATTTTCATAGTTCGTAAATCAATTTGACCCATGATATCTATTTGACAGCAGAAGTATTGAGGTATTTTGTATAAATTGGTGCATCACAGTAATTGATGCTAGGGAAGTGTTGTATGTTTGCACTCTATGCTAGGTAGGGAAGGCAATTTTTGCCCATACCCATTTACCCACCTTGCCCGCCCATCATTTGGCCCACCCAAAACCCACCCATTTAGTTATATGGGTCTAATCGGGCGGGTTCATCTCAAACTGTACTAAATGGGTATTAAATGGGCGGTGGCTATTCACCCATTTACCCGCCCGCATACCCAAAACCAAAACCCGAAGTGTTCATTTGCCAGGCGTCGTATTCCCAAAACCAAAACGAAAACGAAAACCCTTCTCATTTCTCTCTCCTTCTTCATCTCCACCGCCACCACCGCCACCGCTGTCGCCCCTGCCGCCGCCTGAAACTCAACCCTAATCTCTCTCTCTCTCTCGGATCTTCTTCTTCATCTCCGCCGCCACTGTCGCCACCGCCGTCGCCGCTGCCGCGGCCTGAAACTCATTGAGGTAACCCTAATCTCTCTCTCTCTCTCTCTCTACCTTTCATTGGTTTTTACCTTTTTTGAAAAAATCAGAGATCGATTTTGATCTAAGAGAGGAAGCTAAGGCCATTGCCGAGTTCACCAACACTTGAAATCGCACTAAGGTAAAATCCGCCCATGTGATCTTCAAATAGGTTTCGCTTGCTAAGTGTTAGATGAAATGCTCTATAGACTTTTATTTATTTATTTATCAAAACTCAATGTTTTTTGCATTTCGATTTTTGTTATTCATTGTTCTAAATTATTTTATGAACCATATCATGCACTATTTCATGAATAGTTGCTTATTTTCACGACTTTAGTAAAAGTTTATAACTTTTCGATTAGGCAGATTGTTGTGATTGTAGCCTCTCCTGTCGAATTTTCCTCTGTTTGTTCTAATTGCAAATTTTGTAATAAATTGATGAAATATAAGTCATTTGCTAGCAATTGTGATTAATACGAACAAGACACAATAAATTGGTAAGGACTAATCCTATTTTTGATTGAGCTTGTAATCAGGTCATGGTTGCACTTTGTATACAATTGTGATAAATAGAAAAGCAAAATTCAGTTATATTTGCTTCATTGTGGTTTCCGTTCTCTGTTAGAATATCATCAAGACTTATATCCTTATATTCGATTTGATGCTGCAATACACAAATTCTCTGTTAACATAACTGAATTTCTAATATGATAATGTTTAGTAATTTGATAACAAATTTCTTTTTTACCTTGAGGAAGTTCTTAACTATAATTATGCTGTCCTCTTGTTTGGCTTGCATAGCTTCTCTAAGCGCGCTGTGCTTTAACCTTAGTAGCTGGGATAACGTTCGGGTTCGGAATGTAAAACCTTGAGTCCTATACTCTTATTACACAATGCACTAACTTCTCCAAATAGATCTCCTGTGCCTAGGGATCCTACCACTTGTTCATTTTCCTCTTTCCTCTTCAGAGTATATAATTTCCACTTCACCTGAAACGATCACATAGACATCGTCTGGTGCTTTGTTTTGCATGATAACATCTTCTCTAGGTGGAATGTATTCAGCTTTCATCTGTGTAACCTGATCCAAATCCAAATATCATTTTGATCGTTATTTTTACTTTTACCTTCTAATTGAGTGAACTCTTATGTATAAATGCATATGTAGGCTTGTTTGCATATGCACATACGTACATGAACCACACACATAGATAGGGGACTGTTACAGGAGTAATAGAAAGGATGGATAAGTGTTGTTTTAATGGTTAATTTGTTAATCACTAGCTTACAATGATCTTCTTCCTTTATCTCATAGAGAATCCTAGCACCCTATTGTTTGCGATAAATTTGTTTTCCCTAAACAATCTTTTATACTATGGCTTGTTTTCCAGCAACGTCTCCTTATACTTGACAACTTATGTAAGATGATATAGCTCAAGAAAATATTTGTACCCTTGTGAATTGCCACCTGAAGATTACAAACATCTAATCTTTGATTGCCAATATTCTGAACATGTTCGGAGGGATGTTATGAGTTGGATTGGCTTCAGGAGAAGAAGTTATTCTTGACCTCAAGTGACTAACTAGTTTGCTTAGCAATGGAAGTCAGATAAGTTTGCACATAATGTTAAAAAGCTAGCTCTTGCATCTATTGTGTACTGTATTTGGATGGAAAGAAATAGAAGGGGGTACGTGCAAATACTAAGATGAATCCAGATCAATTGGTGAAAAATATAAAGGTTATTATGCTGACGTCTCTATGTCACTGTAATAAATATATCTAGATTTAGATATGGATATCTTCATGAGGAAAGAATTCTAACCAGAAGCAAGAGCATTTCCCTTGAAACACCTTTAACTAGCTAGACATCCTTAACAACTGGCAAGAAGAGCTGCTCACAGATGCTTTTGCATATAGTTTTGGGTAGCTGATCCATCAATTGCTGTTGGTTTAATCTCTCAGTTCATGACTAGCAATGTATAATTGTATTGATATGAGAATTCCTTGCATTTTCTGCTTCCTTCTGTACGTGAAATTTTCATCTTTTGAGTCCTTTTGCTTCAGTATTTTTTTTTGTTATAACATCTCAGTTAGTGAAAGACAGGTCTTGTTTTCTAGTATATTTATTAATATCTCATTTAGTGAAAAGTTTGATGACATTCCTTTTGGCACTTCATATGAGTATATGAATGATGACCATATGTGATGGAATATCTAAGGATGTGTACTACAAGCGACACTTCTTGCAACATTCATTTACAATTTCCATGTTGGATTTAACAGGAATTGAGGCTAGAGGTTTCATTTTTGGCCCTCCGATTGCACTAGCAATTGGTGCAAAGTTTCAAGACTAATATCCGCTGCTAGGATGAACATATTATGTTAGTTTGACCAATAAAAATAATTAGCCCTTATGTATTTTGCTTCTGGTTACTTGTGGAAGAACTCGAACTCTAGGTATAATCACACACTATGGCCTTGATCAAATTAGACAACTTTGTTCGTTATTGGGTGCATCTGTTTCATGTATTGTGGCACAAGATGAAATTTCCAGTTGCTTGTTATAGAAAAGAGAAACATAATAAATTATTCATGGTTTTTATGCTCTGTTTTCATACAAAGATATTTATCCTTAACGTAATTGAACTGGTTGTTTGCTTGTATCTTTCAGGATGATGAGGTGTTACAATCTAAGAAAACTAATCTTGCTTTGATTTTCGACATTTATGATGAGCCTTGGGTAGTGTAAGATGATTGTTGAGAGGCTTGGTGATTATCTCAATGAAAAGGGATTTTATGTTTGTTGTGTTTCCTTTTTCTATTCGGGTTTGGTGTGGTCCCTCGCATTGCAATACTTGAAATGAATAATTGTCAGTTCAACAATTATGTGGACTCTCGTGAGGGGTTTGATGTTTGGTTAATGTGTTTGTATGATCCCTATCCATCAAAATTATGTCTGTATTTTTCCTTTGATTGAGGTTATTGTGGTATTTTAAGGCGAGTTGTGATGCTTATTCATAAGACGGGTTTGCACGTTCGAAAAATTGTGCTCTATTTGAATTTCTTTTTGATGTGGCATAAGTGGCTTCCTGTGGCATTGGTTATCGCAATAAACAATGTATATCATTTTGCAGGTGATGTATTCTTTCAGTTCTTTGCGCTTGGCATAGTAAAAAAAAAAAAAAAAATACATGATTGGTAATTTTAATGCTATCTCGTTCAATATGTTCATGCTATTCCTGAATGAGTTATGTACATGCATGTGCATATTTTGATAATTCAAAAAGTTTACAAAAAGACTCCTAAATTTTGCAAAAAGCCCCTAATAGTTTACAAAAAAAATCCTAAAACTTTACAAAAAACACCCTAAAAGTATTATACATATATAGCTATTATAGTTAAATGGGCAAATGGGCGACCCATTTATTAAATGGGTGGGTAAAAACCCGCCCATTTAGAAAATGTTAAATGAGTCATAAATGGGTAAATGAGCAAAATATGCCCGCCCATTTATGACCCGCCCATTTAATACCCAAACCCACCCATTTAACATCCCTAATGCTAGGGAAGTGTTGTATGTTTGCACTGTGAAAACGGCGAAGGAATTGTGAAAAACGTGAAGAATAACCCAAAACAGACTCCACCACACCCTGGTGTGGTGTCTGCCATGGGTGTGGTAGAATCTGTCCTGCACCACACCCTCTGCCACACCCACGGTGCAGGGTGTGGCAGAATCTGTCCTGCACCACACCCTCTGCCACACCCATGGTGCATGGTGTGGCAGACTCGTTTTTAGAATCCCAATCAGTTTGGGATTGTGTTTTGCTATAAATAGAGACACGTTTTTTAGGTTTCCTAGGCTTGGTTTAGGCTTTGATTAAGCATTGATTGGGGGCTATTTGGAGCACAAAAGAGTGAAAAATCCACCCCCCCTTGCCCCGTGGACGTAGGTAACTTGCCGAACCACGTTAAAATTGGTGTTTTGTTTGTGCATTGATATTTGGTTCGTTTGGCTCTCTTGGATTGGCGTTTGGTTTGGTTCCTCGACACAGCACCAGGCACAACAAGTGGTATCAGAGCTCGGGCAACGCTTGGGAAAAAGATGAATCGAACGGCGTGTGGTGTGATTAGGTCTTGTCTCACTCAAGATCTAAAGTATGATGTGATCAATGAGACTTCTGCAAAGAAGATTTGGGAGATCCTTGAGAGCAAGTATTTGACCAAGAGTGTGGAGAATCGCTTGCATTTGAAGAGGAGGCTTTACCGCTTCCAGTTGAAGAAAGGAACCTCCATTGGTGATCACATGAACCACTACACGAAGCTTCTTGCGGATTTGACGAATGTAGATGTGGTGATTGAAGATGAGGACAAGGCGTTGTTGTTGTTGAGTTCCTTGTCTGACGAGGAATATGAGACCTTCGTTCTTACTCTTATTAATGGGAAGACATCTCTTTCGTATAGTAAGGTCACCGCTGCACTTGTGAATTATCAGCTTCGAAAGAAGGATAAGGAGACTTCGATTGAGCCGGTAGCAGGGGCGTTGGTCGCAAGAGCAAAGGGTCCAAACCGTAGTGGAAGGTCACAGTCTAGAGGGGCACATCTCGGAGTTCGTAAGAATCAGTGTGCCTTTTGCAAAGAGGATGGGCATTGGAAAGCCGAATGCCCAAAGTTAGTTGATCGAGCCGGGAAGAATAAAGGAAAAACTATTCAAGCTTCAGAGGCGAATGTTGTCAAGGCTAGTGGCAACGATTCAGATTCGGATTCTTCGGGCTACTCATTATCTGCACTGCCGTCAGTTTGTGTTGTCTACTCTACAGAGTGGATGTTGGATTCGGGGGCTACATACCACATTTGCCCTAGGAGGGATTGGTTCTCCAGCTTTCAGGAGTTGGAAAGAGGGGATTTCGTGCTCATGGGGAATGATCACAAATGCTCTATTGGTGGTATCGGTACCGTTCGGATCAGGATGAGTGACGGGGTGATTCGGGAGTTGGTTGGAGTGAGGTTCGTTCCTCAGTTGAAGAAGAACATCATTTCACTTGGAGCTTTGGAGGCAGCAGGCTATAGGGTGACCTTGGCGGATGCACGCTTGAAGGTTACATTTGGGTCCATGATTGTGATGAAGGGCGTCAGAAGGAGCAATTTGTATTATTTGCCACGGTGATTGATAGGGAGATGACGACTTCATCAGATTCGGCTAGACTGTGGCATTGTTTGGTGCTGGGGTATATGATTGGTAATGCCGTGCATTGGTTGTTGAGGAGTGCTATGACCTGCAGATTGAAGTCCTGTGAGCATATTGGGATGAGCAAGACCGTGGTGGAGTTTGGCATTCCTATCCATCGAGCGAGGGGTCGTTTAAGAGGTGTTCAGTCAGGCATTTGGGGGCCTTCCAAGGAGGCATCATTGGGAGGTAATCGTATCTTAGTTTCCGCAGTTGAAGATTGTTCTAGGCATTATTGGGTCGCGACTAGTTTCCGTTGGTGTAAAGTCCTAGAAGTCAACAACAATTGGAAGAAGTGTATTGGCAGAAAGGTAACTCGTTGTTCTAGATTTGATAAGGGTCCTTTCTTACGTTTGTGCCGAGCTCACGGCAATAGGAGACACTTCATTGGTGTGGAGACTTTGGGGCGACGAGATGAGATGACAGTTTCGATGAGTCGTTCCTTTCCGGAGGAGGATCGACGTTGGTTGTCGAGCATTGGTTCTGGAGCTTCGACATACTTGGGTCATCTTAGTCACAGGTCGCCGACTGCTGCATTAGGAGTTATTGGATCTGGTGGAGCTGCTTCAGATTTTAGGTTGTGTCAGATATTTGGATACCCAGCATTTGGTCACATCGAGGATGTGAGATTTGATCCGATTGCGCGTTTGGGGTTCGGAGGCTCAGTTAATTATCGTTTGGGAGCTTCTGATTTTGTTCTGAACAGGAATGTCATTTTTGACTCTCGGCAGGTGGAGAGTGTTGATCAGGTCGTTTGGATATCGCAGCAGGTGGAGGGTGATGCTACTTCACGTTGGGTGGAACTTATTCCACATACTCCAGATCATACTGCGTCATTTGGGATTCCAGCTGAGGTGACACAGGTTGGGGATCATTTGATTTCGGATGCAGATGATGGATTGGTTTTGGATTCGGTTGCAGTTGGTGGACATGATTTGGATACGGCCATTGGTTCACCTCAGATGGAGGTGTTTGATTTGTATCAGTTTGGAGCCGCTATTAGTTACAGATCCGTTGGTAATATTGGGGAAGAGTTGCAGACTTTTCTATTTGTATAATAGAATAACACTTTTTACGGAAAGATATTAATGGGCTGCAGAGATATGCGTTTACAATATATCAAATAATTATATATTCACATCACTTATCGGATTCATAAACAAGAAAGCAATTAATCATATTACAGCCAGGGGTGAGTGACGACGATTTGTCCGATCCGCCTCCTCTCTATGATATTTTCGTTTGCAATTCTTCTTATTTTAAAGCATGACAGTGTTGAGTTCTCTCTTTTGGCATCTCCTCTTATGTAAATACTTTAAAATAAATAAATAAATAAGCATTTTTAGGTATCCGCGGGAAGCAATTCTCTTGCTTTAGTGGTAATTTCACCGACATTTAGGGCTGTTTGCTTCGTTTTTTAACTCGGTGGGAAAGTTTTACACCGTCTCAACATTAGATTTTTCGTGGCCACGTAGAATATAAGCTTTCCGTCGGTTTTTTTTCCCATTTTTGGTTCGCTAGGGTTGAAGAAGGGAAACTTGGTGAAAATCGCCGCCACATCAGATTTTTCTCTCCCCCAATTCCTTCCTCAACCTCGTGAAATCGACGAAAACTGCAGCCACGTCGGCTTTTTGCCATATAAACAAAAGTTTTCCTTTTTTTTCCATGCGAACCAAACACAAGAAAAATAAATACATTGATTTCCCACCATTTTTTTTGTGCGAACCAAAGCGAAACAATCTATTTCTTGGAAAAGTTTGGAAAACTCAAAACATATGTTTTTGTACATAGAAATGCATTTCCGTATATCTAAGAAACGAACGAAATGTGAATGATGTCACGTGGGTGGGGGCCACGTGATTTGTTTCCGCGTGAAGAGAATGCCCACAAACAGTACAGCAAAGGCCCACATCCGTTTAAAACTTCATCCGTCCTATATATATATATACTTATTCCTAGGGTTTTGGAAATTGAGGCAGAGGATGGGATCTTGAGGATTTGCGGCTACAGGGAATTTTGGGGCTGATTTTGAGCGCAAGAAAAGACTGTAGCAAGTAGCAAAGAACAGAGATTTTTGGCGGCTATTCATAGAGAAGAAGCAAAGTCTTTTTGTAGTTGTTCTTTGATTTGTGCATCCCTTTGAGAGAATATTTGTGTGAGGGATCTAAGAGTTTGTGAGAGGGTTTTATTTGTGAGATTGTAAACGCCAATTGTATCTCTCCCTCTAATAGTAGATCTCCCCCTCCTTACCCCGTGGACGTAGGTAATTTGCCGAACCACGTAAAAATTTGTATTCTTATCGTGATTTGTAATAGCTTGTAGGATCCCTCGACAGGTCAGTCCTAGAACTGATGAGAGGAAGAGCCGATATCTCACTTGGTTGAGATATCCGCTTCAGATTCTTGTCTCCTTGGTGAGACGAGAATTCTTATTGTCTAATCTCTTGTTGTGCACCTTGCGTACCGGAGGTGCTGCCGAAATTTTCGCTGCGCACAACAAGTGGTATCAGAGCTCCGGGTTAGACTTGGGAGCTTGTTTGAAGGATTCGCTGAAGATTCCTATTTGAAGAATTAGATCGATAACATGGGAGAAACAAGCACATCGGGATCGTCTCTTTCAAAGGCGATACAGAGTCTGAGCATCAATAATACAAAAATTGATGTTCCAAAGTTCGACGGCAAGATCAATTTCGGTTTGTAGAGGTGTCAGGTGATGGACGCATTGGATGCACAAAATTTGGAGGAGAATCTTTAGTTATAAGAAAAACCCGCTGATATGGAGGACAAGGTTTGGAAGAAAATGAATAGTAGGGCTTGTGGAGTTATTCGGTCATGCTTGACGTCGGATCTTATTTATGACGTAATGAACGAGACGTCGGCGAAGAGAATGTGGGAAACACTCAATGAGAAGTATCTGACGAAGAGCATTGAGAATCGGCTTCACTTGAAGAAGAGGTTTTACCAATTCAAGATGAAAATGGGAGTTTCCATTAGGGAGCATGTTAACAACTTCACAAAGCTACTTTCAGACATGGCCAATGTGGATATCATGGTTGAGGATGAAGACAAGGCGATGCTACTTTTGTGTTCGTTGCCAGATGATGATTTTGGTACGTTTGTCCTAACTATGATTAATGGAAGAACTACTGTTAGTTACAAGGAGGTGACCTCAGCGTTGGTGAATTATGAGTTGAGGAAGAGTGTTGATGAGTCCTCCGAGGTTCGAGGCCGTGGTCCAAACCGTCGTCCAGGTGATCGCTCAAGATCAAAGTCAAGAGGTGGCCATAGAAATATTGGTAGAAATCAATGTCGCTTTTGCAAAGAAGAAGGACATTGGAAGAACGACTGCCCAAAGTTAAAAGATAAAGCCGGGAAGAATAAAGGGAAAGCTGTACAAGCTTCGGAAGTGAATGTTATCAAGGCTAGTGACGACAATTCAGATACAGATTCTTCAGGCTATTCCTGCTCTGCACTACCGTTAGTTTGTTACGCTGACTCTACGGAGTGGATGATGGATTCTGGTGCTACATACCATATTTGCCCTAGGAGGGATTGGTTCTCCAGCTTTGAGGAGTTGGAAAGAGGGGATGTCGTGCTCATGGGTAATGATCACGTATGCCCTATTGGTGGTATTGGTACAGTACGGATCCGGATGTGTGACGGGGTGACTCGGGAGCTGAAGGAAGTGAGATTCGTTCCTCAATCACTGGTGATAAGTCCCTGCAGGTATTGGCGAAGCAGGGGCTATTGAAGGGTGCGAAGACCTGCAAGATAGAGCTGTGTGAACATTGCATACTTGGAAAGAAGACAAGAGTGAAATTTGGCACCGCTATTCACAATACCCAAGGTATATTGGACTATATTCACACAGATGTTTGGGGCCCTTCCAAGCACACATCACTTGGTGGGGCCAACTATTTTGTCACTTTCATTGATGACTATTCCAGGAGAAATTGGGTATACCCGATGAAGCATAAACATCAGGTCCTGGATATTTTTGTGGAGTGGAAGAAGAAAGTGGAGCTGCAGACAGGTAGAAAGGTAAAAACTCTTCGTTCGGACAATGGAGGAGAGTATAAGAGTGATCCGTTTCTGCAGTTTTGTCGGGATCACGGCATTAGATGACACGTCACAGTACGTGAGACACCGCAACAGAACGGGGTGGCTGAAAGGTTGAACCGTACCTTGCTGGAGAAGGTGCGATGTATGATGACACAGAGTGGATTGTCAAGATCCTTTTGGGCCGAAGCGTTGGTTTATGCGAGCCATCTCGTGAATAGATTGCCGTGCACTGCGATACAAGGGAAGACTCCGTTGGAGCGTTGGTCTGGTTCGATAGCTAGTGACTATGAGTCGCTTCGGATATTTGGGTGTCCAGCTTATTACCATGTCAATGATGGTAAATTGAATCCAAGGGCGAGAAAAGCAGTCTTTGTGGGATTTAGAGATGGAGTTAAAGGCTTCAAGTTATGGGATCCATAATACAAGAAGATAGTTATTAGCAGGGATGTCACATTTGATGAGGCGTACATGATGAAGCCTCAAGTTCCTCAGTAGGTGGAGGAAGACCAGACAATTGGGATATCGCAACAGGTGGAGGATGATGTGACTCCACCCACTCCAGAGAGCATTGTATCCATCGAGGCTCCTACAGAGGTGACACTGGGAGGAGATGGGATGACAGCCGGGCATTTAGAGGATACAGTGGATGTTGGGACTCAGGAACAGGGTCATGTTCAGGAGTCCATTGCAGCTAATAGACCAAGAAGAAACATTCGTCGGCCAGCTAGATATAACGATGTCATGGTTGCATATGCTTTATCAGCAGAAGTCGTTGATGATTTGGTTCCTTTTACATTCAAGGAAGCAGAGTCAAGCTCTGATTCGAATAGGTGGAGGGAAGCCATGGAGGAAGAGATGCAGTCTCTTCATAAGAACGACACTTGGGAACTTGCAAAGCTACCGAAAGGAAAGAAGGATATTGGATGCAAGTGGGTGTATGCAAAGAAAGAGGGATCTTCTATTGGGGAAATTAGATTCAAAGCCAGATTGGTTGCCAAAGGATATGCACAGCTAGAGGGCGTTGATTACAACGAGGTATTTTTACCTGTTGTGAAACATTCGTCGGTTCGTATTTTATTGGCATTGGTGGCACAGCTGGATTTGGATTTGGTCCAGATGGATGTAAAAACAGCCTTTCTACATGGGGATTTAGAAGAGGAGATCTACATGACACAACCTATGGGGTTCAAAGCTGCAGGAAAGGAAGAATTAGTATGCAAGCTGAAGAAGTCTCTTTACGGATTGAAGCAATCGTCGCGACAATGGTACAAGAGATTCGACGGCTTTATGATTGGCCGAGGGTACACGAGGAGCCCATATGAACCGTGTGTTTACATGCACAAGCTACAAAATGGTGAGTATATCTATTTGCTGTTATATGTTGACGATATACTCATAGCTTCTAGGAATACTTTAGCTATTAGAAAGTTGAAAAAGGAGCTGTCATCCGAATTTGAGATGAAGGATCTTGGAGAAGCAAAGAAGATATTGGGTATGGAGATCGAGAGAGACAGGGTGAAGGGGAGGTTGAAGTTGACACAGAGGAGTTACTTGCAGAAGATGCTGAAGAAATTCAGTTATGATGGTAATGCCAAGGCGGTGAGTACTCCATTAGCTCCCCACTTTAAGCTATCAGCTAAGATATCACCTGTTTCAGTTGAAGACCGTGAATACATGTCCAAAGTTCCATATGCCAATGCTGTGGGTAGCTTGATGTATGCGATGGTGTGTACAAGGCCAGATTTGTCACAGGCCGTGAGCATGGTATCCAGGTACATGCACGACCTCGGAAAGGGTCATTGGGAGGCCGTGAAGTGGATTCTATGGTATATCAAAGGTACCGTGGATGTTGGTTTGGTATTTCAGAAGAATGAGAAGAACGGGCAGGATTGTATTGGTTACGTGGATTCTGATTATGCGGGAGATCTGGACAAGTGCCGGTCTACTAGCGGATATGTGTTTACACTAGCAGGAGCACCGATATGTTGGAGATGCACACTTCAGTCTATAGTGGCTCTCTCCACTACAGAGGCAGAGTATATGGCGTTGACTGAAGCTGTGAAGGAGGCTTTGTGGTTGCAGGGATTATTGGAGAACTTGGGGATTGCACAGGAGACCCTTCGGGTATATTGTGATAGCATGTCAGCTATCTATTTGGCGAAGAACCAGGTTTATCATGCACGCACGAAGCATATCGATGTCAGATTCCATTTTGTTCGTGACGTTTTGGATGAAGGAGACGTCATATTGGAGAAGGTCCACACGAAAGACAACCCTGCAGATATGTTGACCAAAGTTGTTTCAGGTGTCAAGTTTGGTCATTGTTTGGAACTTTTAAACATTCTTCGGTGTTGAGGCTTTTCGAGGCCATTGGGTGAACTACGTAAGGCTTGATTCTTTGGGCAAGAGGATACGTAGGCAGTCATTTATGATGCAGCCGATTTTTGGTGAGTAGATACCGACTTTTGGTTGCTTTGGTATCGGCTCAGTTTTGGGAAAACTTCACCGAGGTAGTGAATTGTGAATGATGTCACGTGGGTGGGGGCCACGTGATTTGTTTCCGCGTGAAGAGAATGCCCACGAACAGTACAGCAAAGGCCCACATCCGTTTAAAACTTCATCCGTCCTATATATATATATATACTTATTCCTAGGGTTTTGGAAATTGAGGCAGAGGACGGGATCTTGAGGATTTGCGGCTACAGGGAATTTTGGGGCTGATTTTGAGCGCAAGAAAAGACTGTAGCAAGTAGCAAAGAACAGAGATTTTTGGCGGCTATTCATAGAGAAGAAGCAAAGTCTTTTTGTAGTTGTTCTTTGATTTGTGCATCCCTTTGAGAGAATATTTGTGTGAGGGATCTGAGAGTTTGTGAGAGGGTTTTATTTGTGAGATTGTAAACCCCAATTGTATCTCTCCCTCTAATAGTAGATCTCCCCCTCCTTGCCCCGTGGACGTAGGCAATTTGCCGAACCACGTAAAAATTTGTGTTCTTGTCGTGATTTGTAATAGCTTGTAGGATCCCTCGACATGTCAGTCCTAGAACTGATGAGAGGAAGAGCCGATATCTCACTTTGTTGAGATATCCGCTTCAGATTCTTGTTTCCTTGGTGAGACAGGAATTCTTACGATCTAATCTCTTGTTGTGCACCTTGCGTACCGGAGGTGCTGCCGAAATTTCCGCTGCGCACAACACCAAACAGCCCCTTAATAAAGACTAATTCAGTTGTATCTTCATTAGTCGGCCAATTTCCATGTCCACGCCACAAAGTAAAATGTTAACTGCACTCCAAGCGTGGTGATATTTTTTTGTATAGCGAACATGCGGACAATTACACAAAAATACGGGAGCCTGTAAAAACTTGTTAACTCCTCATTGCAAGACTAGGGATTTCATGCGAGTTATAGTACGAGAATAGTGGATTCAGATCCTCTCCACTATCTAAAAAGTAGTGAAGGGACCACTACATAATCACAACCATTGATTATCTAGTTGGTGGTTGTGATTTTTTCTTTTAGTGCAAATTAGGAATGAGTGCAATACACGGGGGTATGATAAGTGTTAAATTTAGATTGTATCATAACCGTCTATTAAGTAATTGAGATTAAAAGTAGTGGTCTCTCCACTACTTTTTTGTAGTAGAGAGGATCCAAATTCGAGAATAGTATGACTCTTACAGTCTTGTTATCACTAAATTTTAACCAACAAACCTTTAATCTTTTGTGATTTTACAGGGTTATGGGATGACGGAGGCGGGTCCGGTGATTTCAATGTGCCCGGGATTCGCGAAGAACCCGACTCCGGCTAAGTCGGGTTCGTGTGGGACTGTGGTTAGGAATGCGGAGCTCAAGGTTCTGGATCCGGATACTGGGTTGTCTCTTGGAAGGAACCAACCCGGAGAAATTTGCATCCGAGGTCCTCAGATTATGAAAGGTACAATAATACTAACTCTATTTAAACTAGCTTCATGTAATTAATATTTTATCAGATTAATCAAGATGACGAGAGGACTAATTAAATACCTAGTTAGAAAGTGATTAAAGTGTAAATTGCATATAATATCTCTCATATATATCTTCAGTAATCTTTATCAATCCTCAGCTCTTATATTAGCACTTTTTACTCTCAATTTATGGAAAGGAATAGGCCTATCTGCAATTTGTTCTTTATAAGCTAGCCCGGACAATGATAAATGCTAATAAACGAGCTGAGTGATGATAAATGTTAATGGAAGTATAGATGAGCGATTATCTGCAATTTGCCAAAAAATTGTAATCATCCTGTTGGGATTAACTAATTAATTCTGCTTTACTTTCAATGAGCTAGATAGCTTAATCCGCGTTAAGCTCTTTTACTTAACCCCTTTCTCAGTGCGCGTTGTGTGGAAGTAGGACAACGGCCCAAGTCTCCAACCACCCATTTAAGTTCAACGTAGACCAACGTCTAGCACTGAGAAACCAGCACAACAATTCTAAACTTGACTATCAACAAAAAAAAAAAAAAATTCTATACTTTTGTAATATGTTTTTTCAATGAATAAGAAAGAAAATAGCTTGTGAGATTTCACAGGGAAAATGGCAAACCAAATTAATATTACACAAACGTGGAAAAAAAATACAGATTTACGTTTTAATTTTTTATACTTTACATATGCCTTCTTTTTTCACATCGAATACATAAAACCGACACTCAACATCTTTATATATATAAGCACGTCAACTCTTATAATTATTGGATATGTGCTGCCAAAGTACTGCTGAATTTTCCGCTGTGCGTAACAATAATCTGGTTTAAACCTCTATAAATGGCAGTAGAGTTACCTTTTCCCCTCAAAGTAATTGTTATTATTATTAATATTATTTTGAAGAAAAAAGTAGGGCAAGGTGCCCTACTCACGAACTCAAATTCGTTATTTGATTTAACTATGCTAAAAAAAGATTATTTGATTTAACAAAAAGTTCTAGCTAGTGTGTGATCATTTTGATTTCCATATGCATGTAGGGTACCTGAATGACCCAGTTGCGACATCTGCAACGATAGATGTTGAGGGTTGGCTGCACACTGGAGATATCGGCTACGTGGACGATGATGATGAAGTCTACATAGTTGATAGAGTGAAGGAGCTGATCAAATTCAAGGGCTTTCAGGTAATAATCCCCAAAACTCATCTTAACACATTCATTTCATATTTACTCGTAAAAAGAAAAAAGGCAAAAAAAAAAAAGAAAAGAAAAGAAAAGGAAAACACAGTAGAAGAAACAGGTAAGGAACGGATATTTGTCGTCACCTACCAAACTACATCCCACGTGAACATATATGAGCATATATGAGCTTATTGATGTCACGTGTTCAGAATTGCAATGGAAAAACCCTTCGAGCCTAGTTTCCTTTTCTTCTCGAGAAAAATGTCATAGCTCAAAAGAAAAGAAATACCAAAACTTAAATAAATAAATAAAACTTGCGTAGCACTAAAGAAAAGAATTATCAAACTTTTAGAAAAGCCGAAATAATAAAGAAATTTAAATAGAAACTAAGATTATTCAAGTTTACAAGTGGCCGATCTTAAGCACAATTACCTCAGGTTCCACCAGCGGAGCTAGAGGCTCTTCTCCTCGGCCACCCTTCCATTGCTGATGCCGCCGTGATACCGTGAGTGCATTTTATTAATTTTCTCTACGTTTCAAATTTTTTTTTAACAAGGTTTTATTCTAATTTGTTGTACCTGTTGTGTTTTCCCTCTTTGATCACAGTCAAAAGGATGAAGTCGCCGGTGAAGTTCCGGTGGCCTTCGTAGTTCCATCTAAAGATTCTGATCTCACCGAGGAGGCCATCAAAGAGTTCATTTCCAAGCAGGTATATTAGTTGCAAGTAAAAATGTCCTTTTGCCTTAGAAACATGAATAAAAGGAAAAATATCTGCTTTTAACGGACTAGCTACACGCGACATTCACAAGTATGTATAAGTGGACTGGAGAATATTACTACTGAAAAACAAGTAGCGTAAACGTTCAGGATACAATATGAAATCTGATATCAGAACTGAAGGGCAAATAAACAAATTTTGAACTAATATAGGTAAGAATCATTTTAATTAATCTGAAAGTTTAAGCATTTTAGTCCATCACCGCCTTTTGTTCCTCCTTTTACTTTGCATACATGAAGACAGACTTCCATACAGGTGAAATCAAACATAAGGCATTCGCCTTTAGGAAATTGATTCAATAGCCGATACATACTTTTGCTATTTTATCGAAAAAAATAAAAATAAAAATAATACAAATAGATCACATTAGAGGTATATTCTTCAAGTCCACTGTATAACGCATTGGCATGAACAGATCATAAGAACTGTGTTTGATGAAACTTATGATCATGGATCGTGGAACTTATATGAATCTTTTTTTTTTTCAGGTGGTGTTTTATAAGAGATTGCAGAGGGTGTATTTCATTCATTCCATTCCAAAATCACCATCGGGAAAGATACTGAGGAAGGATTTAAGAGCAAAACTTTCTGCTGCTTCCTAAATTTCTCTTTCCATCATATCAATATGATCGGTGTTAAAAGGTTGCCATCAAATTAATTCTAGAAATAATTCTTTCAATTCTATCTTGCCATTGTATTCATGTGTGCATCAATCTATCCATAGAGCCTACGAGAACAATTTCCGTGAGTAAAGTTAATTTGTTTCCTCTCATAATTTATTTTTTATGTCTGTTTCCCTCTTCTAGCTAGTTTGCCTTTCATATTTATAAGATCACGAATCAAATTAATCATGCTCATTAACTGCACTTCTATGACTCGCATCTATCAAAATTCACCTCTTTGGATATAAAAATAGGGGTTCAACATGTTATTTTCTCCGCACAGTTCTATGTCGAAGCTGTATTTCATAAAGAAACTCGTATACTGAAGTACGACACATAAAGAAAGGTTCTCTTCTCTAGAGGTTTAATTTATTCATAGTTCTATGTCGAAGCTGTATTTCATAAAGAAACTCGTATACTGAAGTACTACACATAAAGAAAGGTTCTCTTCTCTAGAGGTTTAATTTATTCATTTATTTGTGGGTGGCGTGGCTTTTTTTTTTTGGGTTCGTTTGATAGAATAGAGAGCAATCGATACGGCCTAGAGGCTAGAGCACTTAATTGGGCCAAAATAAAGTGGCTTTAAATCTAAAACTGGGCGAGCTTATTTTGATGTGATGTCCACATTGTTGATTTGATAAGGACGATGGAAACTAAAAAAAAATTATTATTATTTTAGGGAAAAATTGCATGGAGCAACTCAAAAAAAAATGAGCTATGCATCATCCTCCCCAGCCCCAAAAGCATAACCCTCAAGCCATTTTATAAAAATATAAGTGCAACTAACCCCCAAATACTGTATAAACCCACTGCCCAATGAACTCATTCCCATATTACCCTTCCCTTCCCAATTTAAAACCCAATGAATCGATGTCTCGAGATCTGAATGGTCGGAATCGGTGCCGCCACCGACGGCAGCGGTGGTGAGGACCCCGCTGGATTTTGGTTAGGTTGGAGCAGAGGAGAAAGAGAGCATCCCCTTGTCGTTGTTGCTTCCTCTCAAAGTCACGATCGTCAGCCTCTTGTTGGTCCTCTTGTCGTCAGATAGGATCAGGTGGTGATGATGGTGGGAGAAAATCCTAATGCTCGCCAAAGTGAGTCCCTTCGTCGTTTGGAGAATTTGAGCTTGGAATTGGAGATGGATCAAACCCAAAGAGAGACCAAGGCTACAAAATCCTCCTCCTCATCACCTCCTCCATGACTCGACCTCCCAGATCCACTCATAGAGCTCATCCTAGAGCACCTCCCCCTCCTCTACTACCTCCGCTTCGTCGCCATCTGTCGGAAATGGCGATCAATCCAAAAATCTCACCGCCTCCGCTACTCTCCATCCGCTCCACCGATGGTCCTTTCCTTGCCCTTGCTCATCGCCACCTATCTCCTCGAAGACTCAGCGTCGACCCCTAACTGCTACTCTCCCTTCCATCAAACCCCCCTCCGCCTCTGTCTCCCTTCCTCTCTACCTCCCCACGACTTTGTCACCTCCTCCCACGGCTAGCTCCGGATCCTCATCCTCTACAACAGTATGAGTTCTTAAAGGACCCCCTCTCTCCTCAATCTCGTCACTGGCGCCCACATCCTCCTCCCTCCTCTCACGGCATACTGCCTGTCTCTTCACGTTGATGCCATCTCTGCCTGCCGTCGATCCTGGCTGGCGCCATCCTCATTGTTGGCTAGACAAGGCTCTCTAGCGTCGTGATGCCTGGCTCCACAGTAGAATCAGATTGGACTTCCCCTTACCACCTTTAGCTGACTATATTTACAACACTGTTTTCCATCGTGCCGGCAGGTTCTACTGTATGTGTGATGAAGGTTCAGAAATGCTAATGCATGTCCTCGATCCTTCTCTCCCCGCGCCTTCGATGCAGGTATTAGAGATGGGATATAGCCAGCTATACCCTTATTCTCTATTAGGTTATTGCCTTGTCCAAGAGCTAAATGGCGAGATATTGATGCTCGTGGAAGAGGTCAGTGGCTACAAATTTGAGGACTTCCATTTGTTCCAGCCAGATCTTTCTAGGAAGATCTAGGTCAACATTGAAGGAATCGGTCGTCGAGCTCTATTTGTGGATGATACTAGCAGGTTTAAGTGTTATGTGAAGGATTTAACGAAGGACTTCCATTTTTTTGGGTTTAAAGTAAAATGGAAGGATTTAACAAAGGAGGAGCTAGTGAAGTGTTCTTGCCAAATTACAAGCTTGGGAAGACGCCATTGCATCTAGCGGCGAGGCAAAAATAATTTTTGTTTGTTTTAAATTTGTTTGCTTTAAATTTGTTTGCTTTAAATTTGAGTTTTGAATTCATTGTTTGCACTGCACATTGTTGTAGATTGGTTCTACGAAGGAAATGGGATGATGAGTTAAGATTGTAACTTAGTTATTCAAGGTTAAATGGGAAAATGCGGGATTTTTTGGAACATATATGTATCACAGTTAACCGTAAATGTGACAAATAAGCATATCATATGATATTTCTATGTTATATTGTAGGCGTATAAAGATACCTATAGATATGAATATCCCTATCTAAGTTAGAGGAGATCATCCAAAGCCAAAAGAAGCAAAGGAACATGTGAAACAACATAGAAGAACAATATGAACACCCACGACAAGGAACACTGACGCGCATAGGCGCGGCAGTGGAAGGTGTTGTGCACACAAACAGAGTGACACGCCTATGGGAAGTTGTATATCTCTTTGATAGCTTTCCAACGCATCTTAGATCACATCATTCCGATATTAGACGAGGAAGTTAGAGCCAAAATACTCGAGACAACGCAAACTGCCTCGGAGGTGCGCGCCAGTGATACTGACACGGTAATAGCACGGAAGTACAAGGTGACGCGCAAGCAAACAGAGTGACACGCCAATAGAGAGTTGTAGATCTCTTCGTTAGCTTTCCAACACATCTTGGATCACCTCATTCCGACATCGGACGAGGAAGTTAGAGCCAAAATACCCGTCAGTTAGCTTTCCAACACAATATCTCAATCCTTATTAGAGATAAATTTACGTCTATCACACGTCGCCGGGTGGTATGTTCTCGTATTAACAGCAAAGCCTATGTATTCAACATCATACCATCAAGTCTAAGAGAGTTTATTCTTTTAGTACAACGTTACATACAGGACGGATTTAAACAATCGGTATGCTAGCCCGATTCAAACGGTAGTCGGTAAAGGTTTATCAAATCCGTTGATGGCTGAGGGTTTGCCAAAAATCCTATAAATACAATAGTCACTAACGCACCAGCTTCATTAGTTGGTCTCGTGACTTGATTATCTGACAAACTAAGAATAAAATCCATACCTGCAGATGAACCAACCTGAACAATTGGTCCTACAGCCTAAACTACTCCCCCATGCTCCAATGCCTTAAGAGCTTAAACTGTGTAGACTCTAGTACACGCACGAGGATAAACTGAGTTAACGCCGCCGGTCAACGCGTTAATGATTTTTGCCAAAATAAGGCTAAGAAAAAAATTTCAAGTTAATGGATGATTCCAGGGGATTCAATTGCGATTCAGATATGAATTCCTAATGAAGAGAATTAGTTCAACATTAGTTCAACGACAAGAGCTAATTCACAAATCAAAACATCAGTTTCAGTTCAAGATTTTGACAACGGTCAAGCGATAAACGCAGCACCGGAAGAATTTTAGCTATTCTACAAAGCACTGAGTAGACTAAAAGATGAAGAAGTCAAGAGTTGAAGCCGTTCACAAGTTCTTTTACACGATCTCCTCAACTAAGTATTGAAAGGGTTAGAAATTAAACCTATATTATCCAAAGTATCCCAGACTCCTCTATAAAAGAATGAGTCTAAGATACTTTGGAGGGGATATCTGTAGGCGTATAAAGATACCTATAGATATGAATATCCCTATCTAAGTTAGAGGAGATCATCCAAAGCCAAAAGAAGCAAATGAACATGTGAAACAACATAGAAGAACAATATGAACACCCACGACAAGGAACACTGACGCGCATAGGCGCGGCAGTGGAAGGTGTTGTGCATACAAACAGAGTGACACGTCTATGGGAAGTTGTATATATCTTCGATAGCTTTCCAACGCATCTTAGATCACCTCATTCCGATATCAGACGAGGAAGTTAGAGCCAAAATACCCGAGACAACGCAAACTGCCTCGGAGGTGCGCACCAGTGATAACTGACGCGGCAATAGCGCAGCAGTACAAGGTGACGCACAAGTAAACAGAGTGACATGCCAATAGAGAGTTGTAGATCTCTTCATTAGTTTTCCAACGCATCTTGGATCACCTCATTCCGACATCGGACGAGGAAGTTAGAGCCAAAATACCCGAGAGGTGCGCGGCAGTGGCAACTGCCACGGCAATGCGCGTCACCGCCTACTGCCGCGGCCACTGAGAAGCTGAAAACATTATTTTTGACAGTTTTCTCGAATTTTATGCTGCCCACATGGCTTATTAACTGCTGGGGGTCACTTATGAACGTGGGAGAAGCAGTTACAAGCGAAAATCATACCCACTACCCACGAAAATTGTGACATTTAAGGAGTTAAAAGTTATGGGATGGCGGTTACAAAACTAAATGGGGACCACTCCATTGACCGCGCCAGCGACGACTGTCGCGCCAAAGAAATCTCTTCAGCCGCGCCACCTATGACTGACGTGCCCAGGGAATATGGCTGGTTGGTTATTTCACACTGTTGTGCACTCCTATCCCTATAAATACCTCCCTAGACACGAAACAAAGGATGGAGAGCAGATTGGAGCATAAAGACTTGGGCTTTTGGTGATTTGGAGAGAGAGAGAGAGTCTTCATTCTTCACAAACATCCTCAAGAAGCTTTTAGCGATTCCTAGAGATCTAAGCTCTGACTTGATCTTTAGAAGAGTGAACATCTTACATCGATAAGATATTCGCTTCAAATTCTTACTTCAATAAACGAAGGAAGGATCCCCAAAACCTTCACGATTCAACCAAAATCTGTGAATCGGTGGTCCATGGGCTAACGCACCCCCGGTACAGGCAAAGATCCCACGCAAGCAGCGATCCAAACAACGATCCTGCGTTTGTTTCTAAGGAGCTTGTAATTTGATTTTTGTTGTAAAGAGTAGTTTTACAAAGTACGAAGCTTACTCTTTTGCATTCA